ATTTTGTGAAGAAAATCTTTAGATAGGTTATGACATCACAGTACTTTTTTCACCTCAATGTCAACAAAATATAGTTGATGGATGATAATTTGAACTAGATTTGAATTACTACGAAGAACGTTTTTACTCGTTCTTTACCTCCCGACACTTCTTCTCGGAGGTAGAGAACGAGTATTGTGCTCGGGCTCGGTGTAATTTAGACCCCACTTTCAGCGAAGAAATGGTAACACATACAGCTATGCGGGTATAACCAAAATGTTGCATTTTGCGTCTTAATGAACCAATAACAGAGGTTTTTTTTGAGTTTCTAAGCAAAATTTTGAGAAATGACGATTCTAAAATACGAGGAGAGACGTTCGGCCGTTCGCCGCCGGGGCACTTTTCAGCCCCTTTCGGCCGCCCAAGAATCCACATAATACCTATAATATACCATCAAATCACGTAATACTTTGCAGGTGGCTATTTTGACATGTGATAAACAGTTTCTGGGTACTTTCTATGAATAATTACTCAGTGAAATTTAGACTAATGCTAGGTATATTAACAAACATTCACGAACACAAGTCCATAAAATGGGTTATGCGCATGCGCGAGCAGCGCCATCTATTGACGGAACTGTGAACACCTTGACCCGCGGTCGTATGATTCGTTACCATATTATATTTTTCAATCGGTGGGTACGCAAAGCTCTAAATTACACCGTGCATGAGAGAACAGGAAGTAAAGAACGAGTATCCTCCTTTTGCATCAAATTAATTTGATGGTTTTTCATTCTACTTGTTGGTTTTAACTTCGGCCGGCGCCGGGCGCCGGCACCACGGAACGCAAGTCCGAAACGCAATGTGCCCTAGCGGCCCTAGCCCCTCCCGAGCTTGCCCCTCCGATCCGAGGCGAGCTTCGGCTCTCTTCGGCCATTTTGCCCCTCCTCGTTCTCCGCCCGATAGGACATTAGAGCAGCGTCTGCTTTTGTTGTCATTGTGCGGTGCCAGTTGACTCGTGGTTTGCCTACTCCACAAGTGTTTTCAAATTCTTGTGCAACGAACTGTTTAGGAATGGCTGACGATCTAAGAGACGAATTTTTACGAAATGCTGTACGAGCTTACTTAAGGGACAAGAATGTCAAGTTATGGATGTCTCCTTACGTACAAGAAAACGGTGAAACAAATGTCAACGTCATGGAGGTTCGTTAGGTGCTTTGTGTATTCCCCGTACAGATATTTTTCTTCACAAAATACTTTTGGTGCTGTTGTCTTCCATTCCTCATATTCATTGTTAGTTTTCGCATTAATATTTGGTTAAATGTCACGTATTTTCAGGCATTAGCTTTAGACTACGCCACACAACTGAAACTGGAAAAGCGTGACTGTCTTGAGGCTCTGCTTAGCCTCCAAGATAATGCTATTAAAAGAATGAAAGAGCAAGAACAGTTCCGAGCTGGAGGAGTAGCCACTTTGCACATACGGTTTAGTGGATTTGGCAATCTTTCAAATGAATCTTTGCCTAGCACTTCGAAAACTGTCGACGACAAAACCAACTCCAAATCAGTGGCAGAAGTTGAAATCAGTCTGAATGCTACTGGAAAAGAGCTAGAGACTGCAGTGTCTGAAATTTCTGGGAAACCAGCTGACCAGTAAGTGCTTTAGTTTGAATGTGTTTCTAAGTATAATACCAAATTTCTTCAAAATACACACCTCTTTCTAAAAAAATATTTATATTTGCAAGGATCAAACTAGTGTTTAGTGGTCGGGTCATCAAGAAAGACATTTGTCTGAAGGACCAGGGACTAAAAAGTTCATCTAGAATCATGGCAATCGCTCTGAGCACTGAATCACATGAGGTTGAGGTAAGTTTGTCATCTAATTCCTTTTTTGCATTCATTGCAGGAAACAATTTAAGTGTAATTGATCTATCCTTTTTTTCACAGGAGGATTTAATGTATGAAAAACTATGTGAAAAGACACGGTCAGCTGCATCTACATTATCCAAAGGAAGCAATGAGTATGCTTCTTTAGAGGTATGTTGCATCTGATTGAAATCAGCTAGATATAAACAAAACATTTACTGAAAAGAAATTCCTTTCAAATGAATGTTAATTTGCTTTCATGTATTCTTAGCTGGAGAACCAAGTTGGCAACTCTCTAAAACTTGATCCAAAAGAAAAGGAGGCTCTGTGTCTTGCCCTGGCATTGCACGAGAGAGGTCGCTCTTCATTGAAAAGAGGTCACCATTCATTGGCACTCCTATTTTTTTTGGAAGCTGACCGTGAATTTGGGTAAGTTGTCATTTACTTCATCAACATTATGACATAGGTTGTAGATAGAGCTTTCAAAAATTGAAACTCCTATTTCATTTTGGGCGGGGAGATAAATAAAGGTAATTGAATTTTCAGGCAATGCAACTCTGCTCTTCTTAAAAGTGTTGACAATGTAGCTCTGCTACAGCTAGATATTGTTTGGTGCTACTTGTGCTTGCGTAGCATGTCACATATACCAGATGCTGATCATCGACTGGGCATGTGTGAAGTTTCCTTGGAACGTAGTTATGGTAGGAATATGGAACGTGTTGCAGCTTTAAAAGGCACAGCTGGTGAGTTTTTTCGTTGAGCTTTTAATTTTGAGCCTTTTTCTGTCGCTGACCATTGTTAACTTAAGGCATATTGGCTTACAGGTAATGAAGCAGCACTGCTTATGCGTCTGCATTTACTACAAGCTATTGTTGCTTTTCATCTCCATAAAATTGATAGAGCCAGGGAGTTAATTAATAAAGCTGAAGTAGAATTAAAAATGCTTAAAGTCAACACTGATGATATTACGCAGATAGTTGCTTTAGGCAAGTCCAATGAACCAATATATCTGTAATTTGTTTGAATCAACTTTTGATTTTCATCAAACTTTTTCTATTCTATTATTACAGGTTATACTACATCTGAGGCTCTTCTGGGGCTGCGCGCCTGCCAAGGAAATCTAGAAGCAGCTGTTTCTAAAATTTGTGAGTGGCAAGAGGAACGCAAACAAGCCAAAGAACAAAATAGAAAAGAAAGAGCAAAAGAAAAGTGAGTGATTTTTTTGTTGTAATTAGCTGAATGCAATTTTTAAAACAAACGATTATATTTCCTATCTATTCCAGAGAACGTAGGAAACTAGGTAAAACAGCAGATGGCTCACAGTATATTGAACCAGATTGTGTTTCAACTCTTTGTGGAATGGGTTATAATCGCTATCTAGCCATATCTGCATTGAAACATTCTAATAACAACATGACCCAAGCTGTGCATCTTTTGCAAGAACAACCTCACCTTCTTGATGCAGAGAAGCCGAGTGTACCTGTTACTGCAGAAAACATTACTCAGGTTTGATACATATTTCATTTATTTTGTTAATACTATTGACTGCAGAAGACTGTTCTCTGCTTCTGAATTTTCTTTTAAACTAAACTTCAAATGTTAAACAGATTGCTGCTATGGGTTTTGACATTGATATTGCTCGCCTTGCATTGCGGAAACATAATGGAAGTATTGAAGATGCAGTATCAGATCTAGTCACTAATGGTGGAATTATTACGGTCAATCCAGGTAGCTGATTTTGTACATCTCTGTAGAATTTCAGTTTCTGTTCATCAGGATTAATTTTACATTTTGTTTGATCAGATAAATTGCTCCCAGAGGAAGATTCAAATAGTTCTTCTAGTAACAGTGATTCTAGCGCTCAGACTAGCACTGCAAATGACAATGAGTTTGAATCGGAAAGAAAGAGGATGAAACAGATGGAGGCTGCTTATGAATTAGAAAATGACATTTCAACTGAGCAAAATGATCATTTGTGTATCACCTTGGAGGAAGAGGAAACATTTCTGCAAGAATATAAAACCCTTCTAAATCTGTAGAATTTCTATTTCTCTCAGCATCAATTATGATTCATTGAAAAATACTGTTTGTTTGATCTACCATTTTATTTTGATATTCAATTAAGTGTTGAATAGTGTCAAAGTATGTACTTTTATTTGCCTGCCTTGCTTGTGCCAATATTTTTCTCATTATGTTTAAGTATTATCAGTTGTGAGTTCCTTTTTATTTTGTATGTTGTGCTGTGACATAACTTTTTATAAGTGTTCCTAGATTTCTGTAATTATTGAAACATCTGTTATTACTGTATTTTAATTTTTTGTAAGAAAAAACGTTTACATATACAAATCACTGAATATGATATGGGGTTTCTGGTTTATTTCATATTTCACAAAATTTCTTATCCTCGTTACCTTTGAGCTAATGGATATTTTCCAAGTACACACATTTTTCTAGAACACTGGAGTCAAGTTTTGCAATCTCATCAAAAGAGGCCAGCCTCTGTTTTAAACTATTCCGGTTTATTTTTCCTGATGTAGTTTTTGGTATTTCATCAACGAAACAAATGCCCCCTCTCAGCAATTTGTGGTCAGAGAGACGAGCTATGAAACAGGAAAGTATAAATTAATGCCTTTTAACTAGTTCCATCTCCTGTTTACATTGATGTCATGAGCAGCACTCTCACCTCTTACTAGTTGGTGTATTTCTTCTCCGAGCTGTTCGTTGCTGAGGTCCTTCTCATAGGACCTGACTACAAAGGCTGTGGGCAAATCTCCGTGAATGGCGTGTGGACGGCCAACCACGCCCGCTTCTCGCACAAGGGGATGGCAGAGCAATACCTCCTCCAACTGACTTGCTGCAATCTGCAAAATCATTCACCAATCCATTAGTCGCAAGGGGTGGCGGTCTGTGAGCCACTCTGTCAAGAAACCTAAGTCATGAGCCTCGGGTCTCTCACCGGCCAGCTGTTGTACTTCATGAGTTCCTTGATGCGGTCCACGAAGTAGTAGTAGCCGTCGGCGTCCCTGCGCACCAGGTCCCCCGTGCAGTAGAAGCCATGCTCGTCGAACGCTCGCGCCGACGCCTTGGGGTCCCCGACGTAGCACAGCATGAGGTAGGGCGTCTTGTAGCGGAGCTCGCCCTCGGCGATGTCTTCACGTACGTCTCTGCCGCTGACGGGGTCCACGAGCTGCGGGCGTGAGGATCAGAGTGAGAACGCGCTGGGCACGGGCAGCCCGCCCGCCGGGCAGGGACTAGGGCACGCGCGACTACTCACCCTCAGATGCACCCAGGGTTGGAGCTGGCCGAGCGACCCGGGCCTGGGCGGCGGCTGCCCGGGGAGGCCGGTGGAGTCCGAGAAGGCGACCCCCGCCTCGGTGCAGCCGTAACCCTGTGCGACGGTGCAGCCCAGAGAGTCCTGTAGCCGGGCCTGCATGTCCGCGCCCAGCGCCGCGCCGCCCGTCGCCACGGCGCGCAGGCTCCCCAGGTCGTACTTGGCGCCGCCGCCCGCCAGCGCGTCCGGCACCAGCGACAGCAGCCAGGGCGGTGCGAACGTCAGGCTAATCTGCGTGGAGGGGAGCGTGGTCATAGGCTTGCTTCACAATTTTAGAGATCGCTGGGCTGCAACGTCAAAAGTCACAACAGCGGCAAGGGTTACCTTGAATTTGTCTATAGTCCGCATCCAGGTTATCTCGTCGCTGCACGCCCGGACGAAGACCCTCGTGGCCCCCACGAACGTGCACTCGAACATCATGAGAGCGCCAGAGATCCAGGACAGCGGCGACGACACCAGGAACCTCTCTCCCCCCTGCACGGCCCACGACCTGCAGCCCAGAGAAAGCGGTTACTCACACTCCCCTACTCGGCGCGGTGACAGGGCGGGGGACGCGGCTACCTGTTGAGAACGAAACGGACCCGGGGTTGAGCGCGTGCACGAGCATGGAGAAGTCGCTTGTGAGGACGGCCTTGGGCTTCCCCGTGGTGCCGGAGGAGAACAGGATGTAGGCGCCGTGCTGCTTGGGGTCCCCGATGGCTGCCGGGACGTACGCGTCTAGGTCCAACCCGCACCTCGCGGCCGCGCCCTTCTGGAAGAGCGCATCGGTAGATATGGCCCTGGATGGGATCGGCGAGCTGCTGGCCTCATCCACCACCACCACGTGCTGCGTCGAAGTCCCCCGCTGCCGGTGCAGGGCCTCGGCTGCAGACGCCATCCACGGGGCGGTCAGCTCGTCCGAGACGAGGCCCCGAGGGGCCACCAACAGCAGGGACTCCAGGAGTTCATCTGGATGCAGGAGGACCGAGGACCGAGTGTGAGAGGAGAGGTCGTGGCTCTGCTCGCGCCTAGTACTAGCGCCGTGCCGCCCAAGGGCTTTGGTTCTTACCCGTGTTGCTGGAGGGGACGATGGCGGCCACTGTGCAGCCGTTGAACATGGCGCCCAGGACGGCGGGGAACAGCGCGTGGTGGTTGTTGCTGCAGACGGCGACCGTGTCCCCGGCGCGCAGCCCCAGCGCCCGCCAACCCCCCGCGGCGTTGACGCAGCGCTCCAGCAGCCAGCCGAAGCTCACCGAGCGGCCCGTCGCGGCGTCGATCTGCAAGCTCAAAGCCGTGTGTGGAGTCCACTGACACCCGGTGCCCGTGTCCGAGCAAAGTCCGACTGGACAGCACCCCTCACCTGGGCGGGCGGGGCGAGCTCCCCGAGGTCAGCGAAGTGCCGCAGGTGCTTGAGGGTGAACTCGGAGAGGGTCACGCCTGGATGCGGGACGCCCTCGCCGCCGTAGTACACTCGCAGCGACCCCGACTCCACTGTAACAGCCGCGCATCAAATTACGTATCCGTCATACCCTGGCGGCGTAGGCCAAGCTTCCCCATCCACCACACGGTTGAATAGAATGAAAAGGGAGTTCAACGTTGATGGTTTATTCACTTCTTTTACGGAACACTGCTGCCCCGACTGATGGCGCGCGCCGCGCGGTACTCCAGCGGGTTGTTCGTGACCAGACTACTCGTTGACTGTCTTGGGGGCGGGTTATAAAGAGGCTGATGTGATGCGTGGAGCGCACGGCCCGCTGACCGGGTTAAAATTGTAGATTTAGATTAGCGTTCGGGGGCGCGCCAGTAACGGTCAGCCTGGCGCGGTAGGCAACTCCCCCGCCGCCACACATCCCCGTGCGGCAGGCCTGCCCACCTGCAGGCGCCCGCAGCGGTCAGCCTGGCGCGGTAGGCAACTCCCCCGCCGCCACACATCCCTGTGCGGCAGGCCTGCCCACCCGCAGGCGCCCGCTGAGCTAGCCCGGCCCTATCTAGCCGCCACTAGTCCTATCACACCAGGCCGCCACCACCGTGGAGCCGAGTAGCAGTGCGGCGACTCACGCTGGGCGTGCCTCAAATATTCCCACCCGAATGGAAGACAGCCGGGCGGGGGGATCGGGTTGCCGGTAGGGTGCGACCATGCGGACATGCCCGGGACGTGCGACCAACAGGCTCGCACTGCCATCGTGCCGCCCAATGAGGCGTGCATGACTACCCCTCCCGTGTTATTGGCACCTCCCCGCCCTCCTGGCCGGTATCCGGGAAGCACGCCGTCAGGTGACACGGAGGCGACCGGGCGGAGGGGCTTGCGGTTTGAGGGAGTTCGCCACCAGTAGCCTCCTGCCGCTCCCCCCTCCCCCTCCTCTCACATGTCCGATATGATATCGGTGAAGTTGGTGGCTATTCAGGGTCGTCTTTTGCTATCGAGCCTAGGTTGTGAGATAGGTCCGGACTGATGCTGTGAACAAAGTCGTAGTCGGTAGCGCGGCTACCGGGTAACCGCCCCACTCCCGTGCTCCGGCTCGACCACCTCAACGCCCAGTCAGACTCTTCTTTTCGCAGCACCGGTATGACGCCGTCCTCGGGCGGTCGTCTCGTGTTTCTCGCGGATGACCGCTGCCCGTGTCGCCTGCGGGCGGCGGCGGTGCGGCGGTTGGGTGTCTCTTCCTGGTGGCGTCCGGCGTCTGCCACCGGGTGGGGCTGATGGTCAGTCACATTCACGCAGCATCTCCCAGGGGGTATCGCGGGGCATCCTAATCCTACCGAATGGAAGTTTAAACACGATAAACTGCTGCTACAAGAAACGCGCGAACAAACAAAAAAACATAGCACACATGCTACACGAAATGCACAGTTACAAGAGCGGCGCATGTGCAATGGGGATGACCTACTGCTAACTTTGAACTCTGCGTCACGTGTGATAAATCACGGTGCTCCTGTGCGTTGTGGCTTTGTGGCGCCCCGTGGAGAGCGGCCGGTCGGCCGGTGACCGTAGCGTAGGGTTGCAATATCAGCACCCCGCACGGTCGCGAATAGCACAATGCGCCGCGACTGATATGGAGTCTACACTTTCCGGGTTACTCTGACAATGCCGACAGCCTGACCTAGAAGTTTCTTCGCGTACTCGAAACATTCGAGCCCCCGAGCCCCTTACTAAACTAGTTTAGGTGCGACCGAGGGTGCGGCTCCCTTTGGGTACCACAACGAAACGATTACTTGTGAGACCGTGCACTGAGCGACACCATTAAGAAACCAATGTAAATACGGTCCGAAAATCTTCACTTGTAACAGACCCCGGGTTCCCAACCCCGCAGTACACTTTCTGGAATCTGAAATGTTTGCTCACTCTTCGGGGAAGTCCAGGAAGTCTCGGATCAAACAGTCGCCGTGCAGTGCATTTGATGGCCGAGTAAGACAGAAACCGCAGTTTCAGCCCGGCTCTTTTGTTGTATCAGGAATCCTGGCGATTGGGCCGCGGAGCTGAGGGCAGGTCAGGGTCTTGCACGCACACACGCTCGCACACAAACAACAGCGCGCCGGGACGGGCGGTGCTCATCCACCGTCACAGACTTCACTACTGACAGCAGCCACACCGTCCGGCCCGGTACATCCTTTGAGTCCTGAACCACGCCACGCCACGCCACGCCACGCCACGCCCGTAGGATCGGGGGAAGGAGATGGGAGGGAGAAGGGGTGGCCCGAGGAGGCCCCGCCCGGCCCGCCAAGTTGCTGACAAAGTGCGGTTCTTAAATTACTTTATTGAGCGTAATACATCCCCCCCCTCTCCTCACACTATCACGCAACCAACGCCACGTCAGTATTATCGTTGTGGAGGTGTGAGACTAATAACGTGATCACTACTACGTATCCTCCAGCAACGATGTGCCAGCGAGCACAGTCTCGATCACGAGGCGTCATAAAGGGATGGGTATGAGCAACACATGGGTTTCAGCAGGTGAAACATCAAGCACCAAAGTGCAACTTCTTTCTTTCTCTTTTTTTGTAGGGGGAGGGGGGGGGGGGGTCAACCGCATGTTTGTCTCATATGCGAGTCTACATTCGTTATATGACTCGTCGTCCCAGAGCGCCTTTATTTGTGGAATTTAAGGGAGGTGCGATAAGAAGAGTGCATCAAGCCTGTTTACGCAAAACACTTGAGAGCGGCGGGAAATCTCATTATCACCGCATGTTGCGCCACCTGTTTATGAGTACCTGCGTAACACGCGAAACAAACAAAAAACATAGCACACACTGTGGAAAAAAAAATAAGGTAAAGGAACGACTACACTACGGAAAATCTCCGAAGTCGATTGTTTTCTTTCGGAAAACCTCCGTGTGCCTACACGACCTGCCGGTTGTCCGGGTGCTCCGCCTGGAGCCTGGGGGTTCTGCTCTGATGTTCACTGAAAATACTAGAGTCAGATATCTTGCTCTCAGGAAAGCGAGATCAGTGACACAAAACAAAAAATATCAATCTCGTGCGAGCGAGATAGGTGACTCTCACTCAATTTGAGTCATAATTTGCGGCCCACACCCAATGAGAGTGAGGTTCCCCACTGCAATTGGGCGAGTTCAGGGAAATCCTACTCCTACAGAGTGAGAATTCGGTGCACATGACTCAAATGGGGTGACCCTTAGTCTTCGCTCTGATTGAGCGAGGCATAATTGTCTCACTCATCACGAGCACGACACCTCACTAATAGGTGTTCAGTGTTCTGATGCCCTGCTGTGGCGCCGCGCCTGATTCATCAGGCCCGCGTGATGGGGCGGACCACGACGGAAAATCTCCGTGATTTTCCGTAGTCACTACGGAAAAATTCACGGACCGACCGGTTTCCAAATTGACCTGTGTTTATCCATGGCCTATTCCGCGTTTCTCCTTTTATTTTTTCCAATAGTGAAAGCCAGTTTGGGCTGCCCTCTAAGCGCCCTGTAAGTGGTGGCCATCCTGGGCCACTATAGAGCCAAGTGCGTCACAACGACCAGGGAAGGCCAGCGCCAGTAGGAAGGGCCCCCCTACGGGCCCTCCGGGGTGCTGACTGGTGGAGGGGGTAAGGTGATCCCTTCGGAGGAAGGGAGGCGGACACGCGGCGCGCGGGGCTTCTGACCCGTTAGCACACCGAGTCTCATCCCGTAGTGCCCTGTTCTCCTTTCGAGCCCTGGGGGGCTTCCCTCCACCGCCCCGAGGGCTCGTCGCTCGTCCGCTGCCGGCTCGGCTCGACTCGTCCAGTCCACCCACCTCATGAGCTGGTGGCACGCGTGGCTCAACACCCCAGCATGTCCACTGGCACAACACGGGACAGGGACAGGTGGCAGGGGAGGGAGACATACAACAACTTGGGTCTTCCAATGAAATCAAACACATCTTTTAAAAATGCATAAAAACAGGCATCAGGTTTACTGTCGAGATTTTTTTTTTGTATCACAATAGCAGGTACTTAAAAGTAGAGAACAACGTCACGAGTGGGAATAAAATATTCCAATGGCTGGATCCTCAGTCTCGCAGGTCACCAAAACATCACGGAATTTATCAAGGAGTTGCAGCAACTGAGATCTGCGCAAATTTTCTAGATACATAATTTCTTCGAGATGATGAAGCCCCCGGAGGTAGTTACTACGATAAAGCTTTGCGAGTAGTGCAAGATCATCTGAGTTTGTGGCAGCTGGTATTTTTAAAATTGCCACTCGCTCTGCTTCACTGAAATCTGCCAACAACTCTTCTGGAATGAGACCATGTCCCTTATCTCCATCAGCTGAGCCATCATCTAGAAAAAATAAATAGTTCATTATTAATAAACGCAAAATATGAAAAAAAAGGGGGAAAAAAAGAAAAAGAAAAAAAAAGAAAACATGCATATTTTTTGTTGTTAAAATTTTATAAAACCTACCCATATTTGGACTCATGCTTAGGCCATTAGGAAAACCGGATTGGTTTTGAGACATATGGTCTCGATGTTGTAAAAGTTGGAGTTGCTTCTCTGCCCTTAAATTAACAATATCATCACTAATAGAACTTGCATCACTATCACTTCTTGCATGACCTCCACTCCAAGTCCCAGCAAGACCAAGGCTTAATTGCTCCTCTGGGGTGCTTTGGAAACTGCCTTCCCCTCGGCCAGTCACCAAAGATCCTTCCTAAAAGAAAAAAAAAGAAAAAAAATGAAAGCCATAAGTCCGATAAAACTATCGTATTGAATAATGAGTCTAATAAAAAGGGATGACTTACTTGATGAGGCCAACTTAAGCCTCTTGACGAGGCCATAAAATATACATAAGTGTGTAGTTGTAGTAACAGCCTATGGCGCAGCATCCAGACCACAGTCCGAATCAATTGAGCCTGAGCTTGAGACCCAAGCAATGGGCTGATTTTTTGTCCAATCGAAGAAGGTAGCGAAAACTCACTCATTGTCTGCAATTCAATTATTATTTTTATTAAAGAAGGGTGAAAAAAAAAAAAAAAAGGATTTCTATTGATAAATATTAATGAAAGTGTCAAAATTCATTGGATAAAACTACCTGTAAGAGACACATTCCTGGGAATTGTTCAGAGAAGCGCTCAACAAAAGGTGAGCTGAGGTCTGTTGGTGCATCAGGAGCAATTACATAAACATTACTTTCACAAAGAGGATAAATTACAGTGGCCTTTGCCCAGTACACCAAGTGGCCTGTTAACTGAAAAACCTGTGGAAAACAAATAGCAATTAACTTAGCATTATAAATTAAATTCACATGCAGTAAAATTTTTAAGCAAAATATTATGATATTACTGTGCCATCAGTAATTTTTATACCTGAGCTAAAGTGAGGTCAGCATCTGCTGATAAGGTCTGCAAACTTTTGAGAGGAGTGTGGACTTGGACAAGTCTTAAAAGAGCTGGCGATGCATCTGGTGGCAAGGTCTCAATCAGTTCTGATGGTTCGACGAGCAATAAGAGCCCATGGTATGGCCGAAGACTTTGTAGACACCTGCCAAAAGCCAAACAAGTTTACAGAATAAACCATAGAATGAATTGGAATTGAACAGACTTTTATTGGAACATTGATTGACATACCTATCTATTGCTTCTGGTTCAATAATGAAGTTTTTACGGTGGAAATGAATTTGGTGAACTTTCTGTGGAAGGCAAAAACTGACTTGCAGCCAGTTATTAATACGCAAACGTATAAGACCAGTATGAATAAGATCTTGGAAGACACCCTTTAATTGTTTTGCAAGAGTGCTACGGTGAAGAATAAGGTCAAAAGCAGATTCGGCTCCATCAATATTACATTCACCTTGCCTGCAACAATTTTTTTGGGTTATCATTCAACATAAGAGTTAAGTTTAGTTTTGTCACTCTTTTCACCTTTTAAAAGAATTACCTAGCAGAAAATTCATCATGAGCTGTAACCATTATTTTAGCTTCTTGCGTTACATAGCCACATCTCTTTTCTTCATGGCGCAAAGCAACACCCAACCTTTTGCTCAAGTCATAGTAACATTTAACTATAGAATGACTTGCAGTTGCATGAAGAGCAAAGACCATATTTATTAAGGTGGTGTGTGATGAGGTTTCCAGTTTGCTGCCACTTCCCCCTGAGAAGAAAATTGGAAATTAAATTACAAATTCTGGAGGAGCAAAACACCCAAGGTAGAATAGAATAGAAACGAAAGTAACCTAAAGAACTTCTTCCTGTGCTTGCTGCTGGTAGCTGGATAGGATGTCCAACAAATCGGACATCATTTACTTTCAACTCAAATTTCCGTTCACAGAGCTCTGGTTTGACAGCGAACAGTGTAGACAAGACCTGCATGACATATTAAAATATTACCATCAATCAATTTAATTCAGTCTAAAATTCTTATTAATATTAGACATTCACCTCATCAGTGAAACCTGTGAGACGACCATGCTGGATGTTTGAAATCTGCGAGGGTTGACTTTGTAAAAGGTCCTCAGCAACAGTCACTGCATAGGGATTCCGACGACGTATTTGTTGGCAGTTTTCCCCATGATGTCTCGAGTCAGTTGCATAAGGAAATCGAAACAGTAGTCTGTCACCCTTACTGTCACTTTCACAAAGTATGACACTGATAGGGTTTGCTTCCATCCTGCTTGTCATACACCAAGTACTTTCATGGGCAGAAAACCCTGGCCAATGTCACATAGGCACTGCACTAAGTGAACACTGGGTTTTCATTGCACTCAAATACCAATAGATGACCAACACTCAATCAATCAATGGTAGAGGAAAATTAGCATGGTAAACATGTCTATTTGGCAAAACAGCAGAAAAGAATGGTAAACGAGATGGGGCCACTGTCGGTGAAAATAAGAATGGTGTGCCTATTCACACAATACACTTCTGCCGATATGACATTTTTTGTGCGAATATAAGCTACAGCGGTTGTTTTCTAACTTAAACATTCGCCCAAACATTTGGAAGTATATAGATTTAGGCGTTACAGAAAATGACTACGCAAAGAAAATTGGTCACCGTCGGTATTGTAGCGGCATTAGGTCTTGCAAGTTATGGTGTTATTATCTATCCTATGCAGCATGCGGAGGAATATAGTAAGTTATCCGTTTAACCTAGCAAAGCAGACGACTCCACATAAATTTATGGGCAATTTCATTTCAAGATTTTATCATTTTTCCATTGTCACTTCTTTGGGTTTTTTCTCATTTATGGATTTTATCGCTTTCAGGGAAAGTGCAGGAATCATGGCGTGCAGACATAGATAGAGACAAGATCCAACCTGGAGGTATGTTGCTTTCTTGTATACAGACTGTTAATCCCTCAATTGTGTCAAAAGTGTTTCGAGGCCACCCCCTCCTTAAATAAGCCCATCTAAAAATGTATCTGTATACATGGCATCACTTTACATAGGTAGTCTCAAAATGTGTAACAGTGTATTCAGCACAATATATAGACAACTATGTATAGAGCGCCATTCCCTGGCAGCACAGATCATTCTTAAAATTGTCTTTGAATGGTCTGGCAACCAAAAGTATATTGTTGTTTGGTGCTGAAAGAGTGGCATAAAAGGTGTCGTAGTCTAGTTGATCTAGTCCCGCGAGGCGGAGGTGCCTCATCTCAGCCGAGGAAGCTTACTTAAGAGGTTTCGAGGAATGTGATTGGTTTTAGTCCTAGGCCCCTTCTAGGACTCAGGCTTGCCAAGCTGGAGGATATGGCATCAGCATCTAGGGGAGTTGGTAAGGGGTCTAGTGGTAGCTATTTGCAGCAAGTGTGAGTGTCGGTCTTAGACCTTTACAATTACAGGGACTTTGGTTTGACAGCTTTCTTGTTCATTTGTTTTTGCTTTAGCGGATTTCGATTTTAAACGCTGTTTGTTTACGAACAAACAAGAAGAAATGCAACATTATGATGCAAATAGCTCCCACTCACCTCCTCCGTGACTTCCCTACTCCCCTAGTCGCCAACACTGTAACCTCCTGGGCTAACCAAACACATTATGATGCGCCTCACCTCCCGACACTAAATTCATCTTAAACCATAGTTTGTCATGTCGATTTCGTAATATTGCAATTTTTTTCTTTTTTACTTTTCAGGTATGAGAGTATGGTCTGACCCTTTTCAAGAGAGAAAGAAAGAAGTACCTTTATATATGCAGAAACCTAGGAAAGAAG